TCCCGTGCCAGTGCCACCCCAGGTTCCCAAGAACAGGCAGCCTTATCCCACTGACTCTGTGTGCCTCTGATCCTTGCTAAAACAGAGAGCTGTTGTTCCATAAATCTGATTTCACACTTGCACACCCACTGAGGTCCCCACAAAGCCCAGCTCTGAGGTTCTCTGTTATGGGATCAGGATGGAAATGAGGAGAATTCCACAGTGTTGCCCAGCACTGCAGTTATGGGAGATCACAGAGGTCACAAGTACTTTGTGACAGGGCTGGAAACATCAGAGAGATGTTCAAGTGCTCTTGTTTCCCCCAAAAGGGAACCTTTGGGTACCAAAAGGCACCTCCAACAGCAGATGCACGGTCTGTGTTTCACAGGGGGTAACTCTTGCCCTACAATAATCCCTAGGCATGGTGTTTTCCATACAGCACACTGAATTTCCAAGGAAAACACGGGAAGGCTCAGCTACCAATAGGTCAGTGAGAACTCTGTTAGCTCATTCTGGGGTAACCACCTTGTCCTTCACGTTACAGAGTCAGAGAAGATGAGAGTTCAAAAGGGAATCTGGGATTGCTTGCAGCATTCCTGGACTCACTAGTGTGACCCCTCATGGATGGCAAGGCTGGGAAACCACTGGAGAACCAGGAGGTTTGGTCACAGCAGGCTGAGTTCAACTACTTGAGAAATGTTTCGTCAAGAACCCAATTAACTAGCACTGACAGAATCATGGAATGCTTTGGGTTGGAAGGACCTCAAAGCCCACCTCATCCCTCCCCCTGCCATGGGCAGGGACACCTCCACTATCCCAGGCTGATCCAAGCCCCGTCCAACCTGGCCTTGGACACTTTCAGGGATGGAGAATCCACAACTCTCTGGAGAAGTTGCCAAGCCCTTGGAGTCACTGTGCTTTATCTACCTTTTATTTTTAGTACACATTAACTTACACATGTTTTACTTCACATCTTATCTGATCAGGAAAGTCTAGACATGGCCTTGGACAGCCACTGTGTAACATGACCCTAAAAATCCTGGCAGGAAAACTGCTTTAAACATTAAGCTCCTTCCATGCATCCCTTCAGCCACAGAATGACTCCAGAAGTTAATTTTTAAGCAAATTCATTTCAAAGGAATGTCTGAATTAATAATTAATATTTTAAATGTCAAGTCAAGTACCAGAATTCCATGCATGATAAATGAATTTACCTCACTGGAGGGAGTTAAGGGGAGATCCAGGGCTGCCTTCCCACACACACACTGATTTCTGGATGCCCCCAGCAAAGGAGCTTTATTTATACAGCTCATGGCAATCTCAGTTCAGAAGGGCTGTCCCAAGGACGGGAAATTCTTGGGAAGGAAATCTTCCCTGTGAGGGTGGGGAGGCCCTGGCAGAGGTTGCCCAGAGAAGCTGTGGCTGCCCCTGGATCCCTGGAAGTGTCCCAGGGCAGGTTGGACGGGGCTTGGAGCAACCTGGGCTAGTGGAAGGTGTCCCTGCCCATGGCAGGGGTTTGAAATGTGATCTTTAAGATCCCTTCCAACCCAAACACTCCATGATTCTATGACTGACACTGCATCTCTAAATGCACTCTGAATATCAACAAAACAGAATCCAGAAGTGAACTGCTTTCTCTCCCTCTCTCCAGGGTTGGAAACCTTGGGCACTCCTCCCACTTTACAGGGATAAACACAACCACGTGCACAAAAGGTTAATTCCTTTAGAAAAGGACCATCTCCAGAGCACCTTCCCCCATTCCAAGCTCCAGCCAGGCTTTGGTGCCTGTATTAACTTGCTTTGTGTTCAGAAAACCACACAGAGCAGCAGCACAGGGCTCAGCCCAACCTGCCTGGAGAGCACTGGCAACTGATATTTCTACAAGCTGTCTTAGTCAATACTGCAAAACTGCTTCAAAAAGGAAACCCTTCTTGCTCTGGAGGTGTTTCCTACATATCTTGGTGTCCAGAGCCTGTTTGTAGGCATCCCAAAGGAACTCAGCTGCCTGATTCATCAACTCAAAAAGACACAGATCTCTTTAGGGGCCTGAGTTAAAGGTAACACAGACACCAAGGAAGGGATGAGCACATCTGCATTCAGGTCTAGACATGAACTTTGGGGTTTTACAGTACAGAAACATGAACTCACGTTTATTTATGCTCTTGAGTTTCCCAACAGCCTGGCTGCAGAGGAGCACTCACTGTCCATGACCTCATCCAGCACAGCAACAAGTTACCAAGCAACTGGGAATTAAATTCTCACTATGTAAATGTGGCAGGAGGAATCTCCTCTGCACAGCCTTTGATTTTCTGGGATCTCTTTGCTTCAGCTCAATCACAGGAGGTTGAGACATGATAAATCAAACGTCTCCACTTATAAAAACCCCAAAGACCACAGAAAACCCACCACACACCGATACCACACGTGGGGGTTGTATCCAAAACACGTGTCACAGCACCACTGCCAAAGGCAAAACGACCTGGACAATATTCCAGAAACTCCTTCCCTTTCCAGCTGCTGACTGGGTAAGTGATAAAATCAAAACTCAGTCAGAATTGCTGTTCCAGCCTGACCTACATTTTTCCTAGTGAGATCAGCCTGAGCAGCAAGAGCCACCCAGGCATTTGGCAGCCTGCAGGTTTATCCCAGGGCAGTCAAAGAGCCCTGGCTCAGCCCCCACTCCAGAGCTCTGCCTTCAGAGCCTGAGCTGAAGGAATGGGTCAGTTCTCCCCCAGACAGCTTCAGGACACTCTCAGCACTCAGGCAGGTGCTCTCAAACACAAATGTACAAACAAAGGCTGTGTTTTCCCCACTCTTGTGCTCATTCCCTGGGGTTCACCTGTCACTGCTGACATGCCACACACATGTCACTATGGTCAGGCCTAAGAAGTGCCTCGGGGAGCCCAGTAATATCAAAAATTATGTTTATTAAGTGATAAGTTGTTTGGTTAAATCTGATACAAGGAATTCCCAAACTTGCACTCCCAGACAGATGTGAGGGTACAAATCCTTGCACATAAAACACCAGCCATCCCTCCCAAATAGCTGCCACTTAACAAGCCTCTGACAACTTTCCAACTTCCCCTTGGAAATGCCTTAGGATGAAGGATGCCAGGGAGTTACATACCTGCTCCACACCCTTCGGGAACGGCATCCTGACTCCCGAGCCACCTTCCCTGTCTCCGGCCAGCTCGGATTCCCACGGCAGCTTGTTCTTCCCTCTCCCGGCGCTCAGGACTCTCCTGGGGCTCATCCCTTGCTCGGCACACTTGGAGCCGGGGCCGTGCGGCGCATCTTCCCCGCCGGGGCACCCGCAGCGAGCGCTCTGCGTCCTGCTGCCCATCAGCAGCCACTCGGTGTCGGCGCCGGGGGGCTGGCAGCGCCCGCGGCAGTGCCCGGCGGAGGGCAGGGGCAGGCCGTACTCCACGAATCCCTGCTCGCCCAGCCTGGGCAGCGCCTTCCTGGCCAGCCGCGCCCGCACGGCCCGCACGGCCCCCGCGCCGCCCGCCCGCAGCTCCAGGGCGCCCACGGCGCTGAAGAGCGCCTGTGTCCCGCCGGCGCCCATGGCCGCGGCCAGCGCCGCCAGCGCCTCCAGCGCGGCGTGCCGGACCCTGCGCTTCGCGTCCAGCAGCGCGGGCGCCAGCGCGGCCGCCAGCTGCGGCAGGTCCAGCTGCTCGCCGGGGTAGGTGAGCAGCGCGGCCGTGCACGTGTTGAGCAGCTCCTCGCGGAGCCGGGCGCTGCGGTGGCGCAGCAGCCGCTCCTGCAGCAGCAGCCGCAGCACGGCCCGCGGCCCCGCGGCGCCCATGAGGCGCAGCAGCAGCCGGGCGCTGTCCCGGCGCATCGCGGGCTGCGTGTCCCCGAGCGCCCGCGCGGCCGCGGCCACCAGCGGGGCGAGCACGGCGGGCACCCTCCGGCCGAGCCGCAGCGCCAGCAGCCGCGTGGCCTCCAGCGCGCCCCGCGCCACCGCGAAGTTGGGGTCGCGCAGCAGCGCGTCCAGCAGCGCGATGAGCCCGCGCAGGGCGGCGGCGGGCGCGGCGCTCAGCGCGGCCGGGCTGCAGCCCTCCAGCGCCCGCCGCAGCTGCTCCACCGCCTGGGCGCGCCGCCGGTAGTCCCGCGGGTCCAGCAGCCGCGCGCGGAGCTCGGCGGGCACCAGCGGCAGCTCCGCACGGCCGGGCGGGGGCGAGTCGTCCCCGTCCTGCTGCGGGTCGAGCGGCTCCGAGCCCGGCTCGCCCCGCGCGGGGCCGGGGGGCTCCGCGTGCCCCGAGCCCTCCTGCGGGCCGGGCGGCGCCGTGCCCGGGTCCTGCCGCGGGGCGGCCGGGCCGGGGGGCTCCGTGTCCTTCGCATCCCCCCGCGGGTGGAGCGGCCCCGCGCCGGGGCCCTCCCGAGCGGGGCCGGGGGGCTCCGTGTGCCCCGAGCCCTCACGCGGGTCGGGGGGCTCCGCACCCTCCTCAGCGGGGCCGGGGGGCTCCGTGCCCGGAGCCTCCTCAGCGGGGGCGCCGCGCTCCCAGGCGCGGCCGCGGCCCCGCGGTCCGTGTGCGCTGGATGCCGGTGCCGATGCCGGTCCGTGTCCCGGTCCGTGTCCCGGCCCGTGCCCGCCGGGCTCGCCCATGTCCCCGGCCCGCGGCCATGGGGCCCCTCAGGCCCCGCCCGGCAACGCCGCCGTCGCCAGGGGGCGCCGCGCACCGCGCCGACGCGGCGCACACCACGCCGCGGCCACCCGGGGGGGGGACACGCACATATCTCCGCGCCGTCTCCTCACCTCGCGGAGGGTGAAACGGGGCGCGACTGCACCGGTGATGGAGCGCAAAGCGGTTCTGAGGGAGCGGCGGGGACAGGGCACCGCTAGGGAGCGGTGGGGAAGCGAACCAGTAATGCATCCCCCCCGCGCGCGGTGCAGGTGATCCCGGCCGGGAAGGGGCAGGGGTGGGTGTGAGCGGCGTCCCGGGCGCTGATTGGTGGGGCGGGCCGGGCGGAAGTGACGTCGCGGGCGGTGAGGAGCGGAGCGAGCGGCGCTGCGGCCGGGCCGGGCCGGCACCGGGACAGGTGGGACCGGGATAGAGCACCGGGACAAATCACTGGGACCGAGCACCGGGAGAGCCGCGGTACAGCGGGCAGCGCCGCCTCCTGGCGCGGGGTGCAGCGGGAGCGGGCTCGGGTGCTCGGGAGACCCGCCCTGGGGAGACCCCCGTGTGAGCCGGCAGCGGCGGAGCCCGGCAATCCCGGAAGGGTTTGGGTTGGAAGGGACATAAATCCCGTCCCGTTCCACCCCCTGCCGTGTTCAGGGACATCTTCCACAGGTTGCTCCTGGTCCAGCCTGGCGCTGCCGGGGATAAGGGGCAGGGATGAGGGCACAAGAGCCGGTGGTGTTTTCATGGAATCCCGGAATGGTTGGGGTTGGAAGAGGCTTGAATCCCGTCCCATTCCACCCTCTGTATGGGCGACACCTTCCATAGGTGCTCCCAGCCCCGTCCTCCCTGCGGGCACTGTCCCAGCCCGGCTCCCTCAGCCCCGGCGCAGGCTGGCTTGGATTTGGGCACCAGCGCTGAGCACGAACACACGGAGAGCGTCAATTCCGTCAGCAGGGCGCTCTCTGTTTGTATTTCTTTTTTCTTGCCCTTTTTGTGTGCGGGGTGTCGGACCCGAACCCAGCCCGGCTCTCAGGGTGTGGTTGGGGTTTGTGCTGTCTCGGGACTCCCAGAACCAGCCCAGTGGCTTTGCTGCCCCGCGAATTCCGGGCTCTAAATCGGGGCTTGGCAGGCACTGAAATTCCCCCTCGGGGCACAGAAGTGCCCGGAGCTCTCGCTGCTGGTTCCTGCTCTGCACACACGCTGCTTTTTGGCAGAGTCAGATCCCTCAGTGAGCCAGCTCTGCCGGGTAACCTCCTTATTTCCAATAACTTGCTGTTCAGGATGAGGTTTAAGCCCAACCTGGGAGAATCTGACAGCCCAGAGCCCCGGGGTGACCACTGATGTGAGCTGGGGGCACAAACCCCTGTACTGGGGTACAGTCCAGGGCTGGGTCGTGTTCCAGCTGCTGGTTCCTCCTGAGCAGTGGAATAAATACCAGCAAACTGTGGTGTAGGTGTGCATGGGGTGTGAGAGGTTCTACCAGGGTGCTACAAAAACTTCACTTGCTGTAGAGAGACTTAAATATAGTTATTTATAATTATATAGTTATAAAGCTGAGCTGTGACCATTCCTTTTCCCTGCCACGTGTCTGTGTTTGTGCAATCAAGTTTTGACCAGAGCACAGACACAAAGGGGAAATAAAGTGTTTTAGCTGCTGAAGAGCTTTTTTTTTTAATTCATTTTTTTAATTCCTCCAATTTGTGCTGCAAAACTTTGATAGGGAAAACTTTGTATATTATCATGCCTTTTACAGGTGTGCTTAAAATACTTTCAGTTATTTTTTTTTTTTACTGTAGAGCTATAATAGGAGAGCTTCTATATCTTTCCATGGGTAGGAGGTTTCCCTCCCTACCTGTGATCCTTCACATCCCTGTCAGTGCTTTCTACTCTGCATTTAAACCTTGGCAACCCCTTTTGTTCTTTCAGATTAAGCACTTCTAAGTGGGCTCCCTGCAAGGGAGGTGTCAGTTAAGGAGCTCTAAAAATGATGAACTTATTGTTGAGATGAAGGAGTGAGAGCTGGGAGATCATTTGTCGAATTGCCATGAAATCAGCTGTTCAGTGAGGGCTGGGGGGGAACAGTGGGGCTGTTTCTCGTGGTCCAGGAGCTGACACATCCCCCCCTCCACCTCTGTGCAGGGATGGGGCTGAACAAAGTGGTGGGCAGCACCTTGGAATTGCAATGCTGCTGCAATTAGAGCAGGTATCCACGTGCTTCCAGTGGAACCTTTGGGAAGGAGGGTTTTGTGGAGCTGTGGGGAGGAGCAGGACCCTTCCCTCTGCACCCCCTGGTGATGGTGGGAGTGTGGGTGGCTCTCAGGGCTGGGAGGGGGTGAAGTGCTGGTAACTCCAGGGTGTCCACCTGGGTCCTGCTCCCTCAGAAGCTCTGGGAAGCTCCTCAGCAGCTCCCACCGTTGTCTCCTGATGGAGGAGGCAGGCTCAGCTCCCAGCGTTCCCCAGCTCTGGTCTCTGCCCCTTCCACAGGGATGTTGTGGCAGTGAAAGCCATGAGGTGAGGTGAGGCTCTCCTGAGCTCCATGCATCCAGAGCACAGGAGCCTCTGCTCCTGTTTTTCCTGCCCCCCTGGCTCTGTGGGGCTGGTTTGCAGAGGGAAGACATGGAATGGGAATGGAGAGCTGGGCCCTGAGAGGGAGGGCCCTGCCACAGAGGAGAGGGAGAGGGGGGCACAGCAGGGCTGGGCTGCTCCCCAGGAGCACTGAGCAGGCAGGAGTTGGGCTGCACAAAGGAGTTTTAGAACTTTTAAAACTTGGTCTAAAATAAGCCAGTTCTATTCTTCAGTTATCTCTTTATTTTTATTTTAGTCACTGTTCAGTTCTCTCAAATCCCTGATGCAGAGTCATGGAATATCCTGAACTGGAAAGGACCCCCAAGGACCATCCAGTCCAACCCCTGGCCCTGCCCAGGACACCCCAACAATCCCACCCTGTC